AGGAGGGGGTTGGGAGAGAAACTCTAGCTTGTAGCCCCTGGAAACCAGCCCCTGCATCCAAGCATCTGAGATGAAAGCTGTCCAAGAGTCTACAAAGGCTAAGAGACATCCCCCCACTCTGGAAAGTGGAGTTGCACCTTAATGCCAAGGAAGGTTTGCCTAAGGGTTTGGTGGACTTTAAGCTTCTGACCTTGTGGGTGGAATGGGAATACAACTTAAGGGGTTTGGACTTGGGGGTTGCTGGAGTAGTAAAACAAAAAAAAATCTCCAGCATGAGACTTCACCAACTATAGGCCTTCCCAGACTGTGCCTTAAGCTTGGCCAAGGAAGATAGGTGCTCTTGACAGCAGTAGTGTCCTTGATCCAGAGAAGATCTTAAGAGAAGTTGTCCCTAGAAGGCCATGCAGAGCAGCCGCTTTTTAGGCATGGGTTCTGCAGTTCAATGCTGCCAGCAAGAACAGAGGTCTAGATGGGGCCTACAACCACTTATCAGTTGGGTCCCTAAAGACAGGTGTAACCCTTCACTAGAAGGGTGGTTGCTTTTTAAAGGCGAGACAAGCAGGGACAGGTCAATTTTCAACAAAGTCCTCTTTAAATGGGCACAAAACTACTAGACTAACATGGGTAAAAGGCTAATAAGTGCTCTGCGGGAGCAAATATCTCGTCTGGGTGTTTCCAATCTCTTTAGAGGAAGCCATCGAGTGCACCAGAAAAGTCTTGGCTGTCTTATGGGATCTAAAAGACCTAAAACTGTGAAAAGTACTCTTAGAAGTGTGGCAGTCCCACTGTATCAGACACTATGCAACCATGTGGCGTTAAAGCTCAGGACATGAAGTAAGGGCCGAAGTACTCACAAAACCCAAACAGCTGGTAGCATTTAAAGGAGAACTATGAGGTGAGTGATTTTCACTCAGTTTCATAGTTCTAGCCGACCTGTGACAATGAAACTGTCATAGGTCGGCTCAGTAGATCGGGAAGTGAGCGAACACATACCGGCACTCGCTTGCTCACTTCTCGATCCTGTGCCGGCAGAGAGCCGTTATAGGGGAGGGACTGGATTCCGGAGCTGTACTGAAAAAACATATAGGCAGTCGTACTTGATACCGCAAAACCGGTATCGGTGCATCCCTAATAAATGGTATCTTATAAATGTATGGATCTCTGTAAACAGCAAACACTTGGAAGGTGGAGAGAGCAATGAAATAAGCTGAATGTTCCATCTGCTGGCTGGTTATTAACTACATAACATTCACTTGCAATGTTTGTTTATTTATTTATGTTAATTGCAGACTGTAATAAAGAATAACAATGTACACAACCAATATACATTTCCTTCAAACTCACTTGGCTTTCATTATTGAGCACTGTAACGGCGTGGAGTGCTGTCAGTGTTTTGCAACACACACAACAATCCACCGTCCTCCCCAGCCAGCGCACAGTATCAGAGCCATTGATCTCCATTAGCTCAGCGCCGGCATCTAACAGAGTAATCATCGTCATAAATCTTACTGTTCAGCTTGACTTTGGGAAACTTTCAAGACCCTCACAAGAAAAGCCAAACACAATTTAAGAACATTCCGCTGTTTGTCTGCAACGACCGAACTAGCTGCACTTTAATTCAAGCGCCGTCTGAATCAAAATGATCAGGCCCGCTTGAGGCTTTTAAATCGTGTTTATAAAATACAATTATGTGCTATGATGGATCGGCTAGAACACGAGCAGAAAAACCGCTTGCCTGTATTTTTATCTTCTGCAATTCGTTGATTTTCAAAGCTAAACTCCAGGCGGACGTAAAATACACACTTTAAGGCAGCTGTGCATTCATTGATACATCATTAACTGTTTCTTGTGATGCAAGATGTGTAAGTACCTGAATTTGACCTGGAGCAGGAGCCCAGACTAGGAGAGGGAGAGACAGAACAAGGAACCAATCAGGAGTGCTGCAGTGCTCATGTGCTAACACAGAACATGCAAATAGGAGAGAGGAGAGTGATATAGACATGAGCGTATCAATTTGCTGCTTCTCCTTTCACTGTCCAGTCACAGGCTGCGGGAGGCACTAGACCTGTTAGTGTTTCTTACTTGCAGTAGAGAAAAACCAGGTATCCTGCCCTGCCTGAAAGGACTATTTTGTGTGGCAGAGCTGTGTCAATCTTGTAACTGGATGGACATAAGTGCCAATCATTTGGTAGTTCAAACAGCTCCTCTGGGTATTTAGCAGTTTGCCTGGAGTTCAGCTTTAAGCTAGCTGTGGTAAACAGTAGGGATGCACTGATACTGATACCAGTATCAGTATTGATACCGAGTATTTGGGCGAGTACTCGTACTCACCCAAATGCTCCGATACCTTCACCTATACCGGAACTTCCAGTCAGAGGGAGATTTCCTGACCGGCAGCGACACAAGGGAACATGGAGACGGCTTCCATGACTCGCTGCCCAGCTTCCTGATTGGCCAGGAAGGCGGCTCCATGCTCATTGGCTGACTCAATGCCGATTGCCTGGGAAGCCGCCTTCCCGGCCAATCAGCATGGAGCCAGCCAAAAAGCTGCGGCGTGTCATTACCCACATATTATGCACATTTACATAAAGGTGATAAGTGGCCACACACCTCTAGCTGTAGTTTATAGTGTTTTATTGAACGATAGAGAGAGAGATAGAGAGGGACGGACGGACAGACGGATGGATGGATGGACGGACGGACAGATAGGTAGATAGAGGGAAAGAGAGAGAGAGAGAGAGATAAATAGATAGCTATAGATAGAGAGACAGACGGGCGGACGGACAGACGGACGGCGGGCGGACGGACAGACGGACGGGCGGGCGGACGGACGGAAGGACAGACAGATACTATAACATGATAATAGCTAGATTCTAATTGAAGAAAGCTTCTGCCAAGTTGTGTAAAAGGCTGCAAGATATTTGAGCAGACATTTTTTTTTTTTTTAAACACAGTTGGATTCTGAGATTTGTTTCCTCTAATGCTTTCATCTCTCTGATTGCCATTTTCATTAATTTCATTCATTTCCTGATTTCCATTTTTATTAATGGCAATCAGTAGAAATGTTTAGGAAGCGCTAGGTATAAGAGATATGATCAACACACTTCTTTGAGTTTCTCCAACATCCTTGCCTCCTGGTGCACCCATAAAGGCTTACATCAAATTAAAAGGTAGTCTTAAGGTGCCCACACACCTTGCGATAATCGTACGATAATCCTGGGAAATCCCGCGATCGTACGATTATCGTAAGGTGTGTGGAAGGCGTGCGACCTCTACTACTGTAAGGTTGCACGACTTTTATCTTAGGAACATGTTCGAAAACATCGTACGATTTTCGGCTGGTTTGTGGCATGTTCGCAAGATAAAAGCCGAACGGCCCGGTGTGCGCAAGCGCACACTGCACGTTCGGCATTCCGGTCATCGGAAGCCCGCCCCGCTTGTGATCATCGCAAGTGTCCAAGATGGGCAGATCGTACATTTTTTTAATTACCTTACAACCATCGCAAGACTAAAGTCTTGCGATGGTTGTAAGGTGTGTGCCCAGCATTAGAAAAGGACAGTGATTAAGAGGGAATCTGCTACAATGTACAAGTTAGGATAATACTTTAAAAGAAAGGCTGAAAATTACGGAAGAGCCCTGCTCTTGCACCAGTTATCCACATTTTCCTTCAACTATTAATCACCATCTATAGAAACACAGAACAAATAACTCTAGTGTAGTGACTTTCAAACACAGAACTCTGTTTTTAAAATTCTGACTTTCAAACACAGAATTATATTTCATATTATTTTTTGTCATGGCCCCAGGGCTCTTCCGGAGAAAATCACGGAATTTTACCCATTAAAACTTTCATTTGCTTGCACTGGGAAGACAGCTAATATGCAATTTAAGTCCAAAATCTTAAACAAATCTAAACTCTGCCACATAATATCTAAACAGATTATACAATATTATCTCTGGATATTTGCATTAAGAGCTCCTGTTGCAATACATAAACAACTGTTTTGGGGCTTTCTATGACTTCCCCAACTAAATATTTAGGATTAAATAATGTTGTATGTGGTCAGTTTTCCTTCTCAGCATTTCTTATCTGAGGAAGTCAGAAGCAGGAAAATAAAGGATCAGTTCCCATGATACAATAGAGATTTGAGCTATGTGCAATATTGTGCTACCAGAGAGAGAAGCTCGTCACTCTGCTGCTTCTCCTTTCACTGTGCAGTCACAGGCTGGGGGAGGGGCATGACCTTGGAGCATTGTTTAAAGTGGACCTTTACCGTTATCTTTAAAACGACAACACACACCCCTTTAGAAATGTTTAGTAATGACAATCTAAAAACAGATACTTCTAGATAATTGCCGGCTTTGTTTTCTTTGCTTTTCTCTTTTCTTTCCCAGTCTTCTGACAGTGGGCATGTTTACTAAGGGCAGATTATTAGCTCTCACTTTACTTCCTGAAACTCTGGCACATGTGACTAGGACATGTGACCATGCACATCATCTCAGGGGAGGAAAATGCCCTGAGATCTCGTGAGATTACAGATGAGATTTCCCAGCAATGCTCTGCTGATGAAAAGGCAATCCCAGTGTGCATTGCTTTGGCAAACTGTACACTGCTTTGGCAAACTGAAGACATTTTGACCTTTCAAAGCAGGAAGTGAATGCTCTGCAAGTGTAAGTATTTCAGAATCACAGCATTTTACACATGTCTATGTTATTATGAATCATCATACATAGAGGGATGCATTGGTAGAATTTGATTTTTGAGTGTAAAGGTCCGCTTTAACTGCAGCAGTGAAAAATCCGTCAGACAGAGCTGGGCTGTATTGAAGAGCTGGGTAAATCCCAGAACTGGAGGGACAGATATATCCTTTGTTAGGTAAAAAGATGACATATTTGTATTTCATCTGTATATTTAGCTGTTTACCAGGAGTTTAGCTTTAAAGCAGCAGCCTTTGTGGTACATTTCAATAAAATGAACAATTCTGAACATTGTACTTACTGCCATCATAGTTGAGTGTGGCGAAATTGGCTTGTTTCTCTGCACAACCAGCGCTGTTGCACACTCTCATCTGTAGCTCATACCAGGCTCCCTCCTGCAGGTCATAGAGTATATAAGACTTGGACAGTGATGTTCTCTGTGCCAGGGTCCACACTGTTGTGCCAAAAGGCCGGTACTCTAGGTTGAACGATGTTATTGGGCACCCACCATCATTCCAGCCAATGAGATTAAGCCTCACCCGAGTGCTGTTGACACTGGCGAACAAGTCTTGCTCCTTTGAGAATTGAGGTTCTGGGGAGACGTACAAAAATAACAATATAAAGCAACATTACTTTACACTACTATACAATACTACCAATATCTTCACAACATATACATTTTTTAAAAAGTATGACTTATATGTACCAGAAAAAGACTTCTTTAAAAAAAAATCAGTTCAGTCACCATATAATAAGCGCAGTAATCAGTTGCAACCAATCAGATGGCTGTTTCTAGACAGATTAGTTAAAAGTGAATTCCAGGAACAAAGTTTGAATTGGCCCTCCCCATCCATTAGCAAGGAGATGTCCCTCTTCCCACATCCTCTTTTCAAACATAGAGAAATGCTTGGTGGACCAAAGTCCAGCCATGGTTTGGCAAGGGAGTAAATGTATTTTTAAGTCATTCAACAAACCCAGGTGGCCTGCAGGTGATATCTATATCTGCAGCCGTTGATCCATAGTAACCTGGACCTGGACATAGACAGGTTCCAAACAACAAGAGATTTACACCCAAGCTGGAAATTGGTTGGTAAAGTCATCATGGGCTAAACCATTGCTTGGTAACTGGCTGGTGTTAGAGGTTTTGTAAATACAGATATGTGCAATGGGGCGAGACACAGAAAAATGTATGGATTGGTTTAACAGATGCTGCTTTGCCTATCCCATGTGTATCATTAGAATAGAGGTCGGAGTTAGAGTGTCCAATGTTCATTTTATCACCATCCAGATCCAATAAATATTTATAGAAACAGAATAACTCTACCATACTAAGGGGCTGATTTATAAATCTTCTGCCCAGAATATAGCTGGGTGAATTGCTTTTGCCCACCATTACTACCACTAGATCGCGCTAAGGGGCAAAGGTGCCATCTAGTGGCGCTAATGCCAGCATTCCCCCAGTTATAAGCTTGGCGGAAAATTAAGAAATCAGCCCCTTTGTATACTAGAGTTATTTGTTCTGTGTTTCTATAGATGGTGATGAATAGTTGAAGGAAAATGTGGATAACTGGTGCCAAGCTGGGTATTTATGAGAAATCATGTTTGGACTGGAAGTAAAATAAGTAGTTCTGCAATACAAAGCACTTTAAACCCACCTTCATGTACATGACCAGGCTGTATACAGCAACTGCCAATGTATTATTATTGTGGGGTTCAAGAATAGAATGATGTTGCTTATGAAAAGCCTGATTTCTACCCCTTGCTGGTATCACTAGTGTGACCAAATACTTGCAATGACTATGTTTCTGAACCGAGGGGCTTTGGGGTAGGGACTTGCAGCAGAGACAGCTGGGTCAATGGTCACACTCCTCCTGCACCATTAAAGAAACCTGTCCGCTAAGGGAGGCCACTGGAAACCTGACAACAGTGCATACATGTTACTTTGATCCCCACCTTTGTATCATAGGAGGGGAAAGGGTCAGGCTCAGTCTAATAGAAATCTCCCAAGCTGTAAAATCTTCCATCACCTCCACCTGCCTGAGGCACTCGCTCCCCAGAACTTAAGAATTACCTTTTGATCTTAACTTTTTGTGGGCAGCCTTAAATTCATGTCGCATGTGTGATTTTGCTACTGCCAACACATCAACAGCAGAAGAATCACCCAGGAGGGCCTTACAATGACCTCTACAGAACTGTCTGCTCACAACATCTCACTGAGGAAGCAACTCCATCAAAACAGGTAACAGTGACAGGCTCGCTCATGAGACATGGTCCTTGCTGCTGCCACCTTTTAACCTCATAGCCCAGACATGGCCCCACAGGGGTCTTTATTGAATATATCGGGGGCAGAACCATCAGTTGCATCAGGACCAGAATGCAGAGATGCTAGACTTCTGATGTGATTTACAGCTTTCCCTATTTACAGCTACATTACTGCAGACTAGCAAAAGTTTAAGAAAAAGTCCCTCTTCTCTAATAAAAGTGATTATCTCCCCTTACTGGCTTTATATTCCTGATTAATGGCCCGTGTGGTGTTAACAGGCAGGTGTCTAATATTTATAGCAGCAGCTGATGTTCATAAAGAAATCTCTGTCACACTTCATTACACTATAGTTGATCGTTGAATGGAGCAGCGCAGAGACTTCTGCTGTCATTAAGCTGGGTCTTGCCACTGCATGTCTTGTTCCCATAGCTATATGCCTAAAGCAGAACTTTCACCAACTGTTATATAAGAATCATTAAAGAAATGCTAGTGCAGCAGTGTTACTGCACCATGACAGCAAAAGGAGAAAAAACACTTGTTCTAAGCACTGACCGCTTAGCTGTTGGGGTTTCTTTTGCTGCATTAATGCCAAAGAGGGAGTGGCCAGTAGGTAGGTCCTAGGGTAGTAGTGAAAACAGCTCACTGAATAAGTAAATGGATTATCAAACTTGCCAAGGCTTCCGTTTGATTGCCAAGCTACACGTAACTGATTCCTCAACAGACTCTGTTGGGGGAAACAAGTATCAACCAAAATTGTCCTGTAAATGAAAGGACTTCACACTTGCCTGGTTTGGCATCTGTTCCTTGAATCCTTTCTTATCACTGCCCCTAAGAATCTTCACATCAACACACTTCCAGGTGTCCCTGATGACTACACCCCCCACCGCATTCCATTGTTACTCCCGTTGTTTCCTATGCCAATACTGCATCCTATAACATCTTGAAGCCTGTCAAAATTCTATTTGGGGTGCCATAGCTCTGCAGCAAAGGCACCAAGCCAGGTAAGTAATTAAGTATGAATATTCTTCCTTCACCAAACATTCTTGGTTGATACGTTTTTTCTTATTGACAGCTTCATTTTAAAGAAGCTCGTTATTTGCTCCAGCTCAAAATCTGAAGGTGCAATGACTGATTCCTCCTGCTGTTCTGTAGGGTTCCATACAGACTTTCAATTAAAGAGAGACATCGTGAAAGCATTGTGCGCTCTCTTGAGAAAATCCATAATTCTCTATGACTAATATCATGGAGGCACCTTGAATCAAAGTTCATTTTTAAATAAAGATTTTACATAGTTGAGACAAAAAAAAATCAATTGTTTAAAAACCTAAAAATAAATCCAAATACAACTGACCCAAAACCAAAATCCCTTTCTTTATAGGACAGATCTTGTGTTAGAAGGGTTAATAGTACAATAGTGTCACTCATATCCATCTATTGTATGAAGAACTACTCCCTACTAAACTTGCCAAGGCAGCAAACTGGATTTATTGACAATGAAGGTAAGCAAACACTGCCTGGCCTGAGGAGATGTATGCAGGCTTATATTCAACCTGCATACATATTTATAAGCACGAAAATGCGATTTATATTGAAAATGAGATACAGTTGTGAAGAATAGTCAGATCACACACAGATCAGAGAACAACTCGCATTGCCTGCAATGCTGCTGGTCTGGAAAAAGATACTGGGACTCAACACCGAGCCCCCGAGGCACAAAGTGTAGATTTAAAGTAGACCCGTCAGCATGTTAGAGTGAATAAACTGATACAAGCTCCCAGCAGAAGACACCACGCCTCACGTCACCTTCATATACCTTTTCGTCAAATTGTTTCTGGCCCCTGAGAGCCCACAAACCTTAGTAGGTGCCACTGAGAGGCAGTGGGCAAGTACCGTGGCTCTGATTGGTCTCCGAGTCAGTATTTGTACACACTGTAAAGTTGGATACTGGGGCTTTTGAAAAGTGTAGAAACCTCCTGGTACCTGATGTTAAGCAGTTGCTCTATATTACACAAACTCTCTATTACAACTCTTTTTAACTGACTGAAAATAGTCTTGAACCAAAGCTTTTACACATGTAACTTTTCACTCGAGGCACTCCTCATTGTACACACACAGAACTACCAGCCCGAGGACTCAGTCACGTGCTAGGTACCTCCCTGAATTAGTGTATTCCAAGACCAACACAAGGTTCCAACAACTATGTATCAGGGAATCCCCAACCACTACTACGGTTGTCCACCTACAATTTTAGTGTAGGTTTTGTTTCCACACAGGGGTCGAAGGCCTATAAAGTACATTATGACCCCCCAAAAAAGCAACCATTTCCTTATGCTGGTGGGGATAGCTCTACCACTTGAAGATATGGGAATGGGTAAATCTGTGCTGGCTGTCAAGACATGTACCCCTGACCAACTGGAAAGACAGCTGCACAGTGGAGTAAAGGCATGGCAAATTAATAAATATCTAAGGCTGAACAAGCTGTACATGAGCCTCATGTGACCTATACTTTCCTGATCTGTGGCATGCCTCCATGCTCCTTAGTCCCAGTAGGGAACTGAACATAGTCTTGAACCAAAACTTTTATGCATGCGACTCTTCACTCGAGGCACTCCTCATTGTACACACACAAAACTACCAGTCTGAGGACCCAGCCACCTGCAAGGTTCCAACAACTATCTGTCAAGGAATTCCCAACCACTGTGTCAGGAACCGAATCTGAACCCAGGGCCTCTGCTGTAGCTGGCAGTGGTTCTACCTGCTGAGCCACCTTAGAACCTTAGATAGCTCCTTGCCTGACCTCCTGTGTAATCCTCAGTTAAACCTAGTTTCTGCTGAACTCTGAACTCCTCGTTCCTCCCTTGAACTTACTATTTAAGCCACGCCTCTGCACTTCCTGTTTGCCAGATTATTGTGCTCCTGCCATTATCTTGCTTCCTTGCTCCTTCTGTGTTACAATCCATTCATACTGCTACTTGTGTACCGACCTTTGGCTGCCGATTCACTTACTACTATTATCGTCTTCTGCTTCATACCTGATACCTTTGGCTACTGACTTTGGCTTGATCTCTGACTACGCTTCTGCTTGCTCCTACACTACTACCGTCTGATTGTGTACTTGTCTAGTACCAAACTCGGCCTGTTTGACTACGACTTTGCCTGCTGTTTCAGCTACTGGACTCCGAGCCTGATCCAGATCGTGACACACTGCTTTGTTTGTCCACCTACAGTTTTAGTGTTAGTTTTGTTTCCACACAGGGGTGGAAGGCCTATAAAGTACATTATGACCCCCCCCAAAAAGCAACCATTGCCTCCATGCTGCTTAGTCCCAGTAGTTGGAGGGTAACCAACGGAAGTGGGCAGAAGACTCATAAATAAGTTTACTTTATTACTCTGATGTCTCACTGCCTACTATGACCTCATCCAAGGTGCAGATCATCTCACTGATTGGTCATTAAGTAACAGTATCCTTGATGACCATCCCAACACTAACAATGACAGGACAATGTCTAATGTCAATGATAATGTCTGCAATTGTGAGGAGCCCCAAAGGGGCAAAGTAGATCCCACTGCCATGGCCAACAAGGTCACCAACAGCAAATAAAAACACACAGGCTTATGTAGATGGGCAAATGCTTTTAGGGGCAGTCAACTAGCATTTGAGATCAGTTTAATATGCTTCAGAGACCCTTTTGAGTTCTTTCAGAGAAGCTTCTGATCTCATAAGCTGCACAAGGTTGCTTTTGCATTGTAATTGACTTGTATAGGGTAAAAAGCAGTTCTAATGCAAACAAAAGCCCATGCACACAAGAGATGTAGCTTTGGCAGAACACAAGGCTTAGTTTCATTCATAAACACATGAAATTCAATCAAATAACTGGATAGTTAATAATTACTTCCTGCTTTTGGTGGGCAGGACAAGACTCCAGTACCTTTCCCAAGGGTTTTAGCCTCTATGATCTCACTGATGCGCCCGGGTCCGACTCCATTTTGGGCAGTGAGGGTAAATTTGTACCAGGTGCCACATTTCAGGTTTTCTAAGCGGTATGAGCGCTCACTGGGACTGATGGGTATACTGCCCCACTGCTCGCTGTTATCCTCTGAGTATTGGAGTATGTAACCTGCAACAGAAGCACAGAACGGTCAGTGCATTTCAGAAAGCATAAAAATATGTACATAGCTCTTATACAATAGTATTAAACGTTCCACAGAGGAAGGCTTTTGTGTATTTTGGAGGTGTAATTTTTATGGCCTAGTCTAGTCCTATATGTTTTTAATTTCCCGGCCACCTGGCACTGCTAGTTGATTTGGTTGCGGCAGATTTGTTCTAGTCATATAGTGTCAGGCTTTTATTTTGTCAGATCAACAAAACCTACTAACTACTACAGAGCAAGAGGGTCTGCCAATTTGTTATATACTTTAAATATTCATACTATTCAGTAGTTCTCCACCTGAGGCCTTTTTTGGTTCTCACAACCAAGTGTGTTTAAAAAAAATAACAGTCCCCATTATGACTGAACCTCAATCATAACCTCACCCTAAAGGGTACCTACTGTCACTGAAAAACATTTGCCTGATACAGCAGTTTATGAGCTACTCCATGGCTATATCCACCATTCCTTGCTTAAAGTCTGAATGATCTTTCAGTTTAAATGAGATCAATACTTCCCAAGTGCAGCAAAAGAAAAGGTGTGCAGAGTCCTGGCCCCCGTTCAACCTGTCACATACTTTCTAAAGCGCGTCAATGCAACTCCCATTCTTTTCAGTGGTGTTCGTTCACATCTGAGCATTGTGTCACCTGTTGCTTGTAGTTCCAAAAAGAACTTGAGTTTCGTTTCAAGCAGAATGGCACATTTTGTGACCCCATATGCTTCATCGGGGGTGCCAGAAAAAAATAGCATTTTGTTATACCTGAAAATGCCTAAAAAAATTGCACCAAAAAAAAGCCTCAAAATCACCTGAAAATGTTCATACGCATGAATGGCTAGCCATTCTGCCGATGGTGATTTATCAAAATTGCTCCTATGGAATCGCTCCCCCTGTAGCTGAGGCAGGAAGATGTCACTCCCATTAATATTGTTTACGATTCAACAGCATCCAGGCCAGCGACAGAACCACATCTTGTTGCATCTGGCAAGAGAGGGAGAAATCCCATAGGGACAAACAGGCAGCCTCTTAAATGATTCTAGCTCTGCCGGCCTGTCTCTGGTGGCAGAATTGCCCATCTGACATGAGTCTTTTAGTTGGTTTTCTTTAACACCTTAATGAGTAGGTAAGTCAATCCTTAAGGCCAACATATTTAAAGCAAACTGATCAAATTGCAGAGAGAACTGACCTTACTCAATGTACATCTAAAAACCTGAAAACTATTACAGATGCTTTTTACTCAGTAGATTAAAGGCCTCTTCACACCAAGGCCGTGCATTAATCGATTAACACATGGCCTTGGTGTGAATGAGCCCGGAAAATGCAAATCTACAGCTGCCAAGGTAGTCTGAGGGTTTCAGTTGCTGGGTTGGAAGAAACTTTATCTCATTCCATATCTATTTCTTCCATATGAAAACAAATAAACCTTTATTACGCTCAGGGCTGGATTTACTCTCCCTGCTGCCCCAAGGCCAGGTTCCACAATGCAACCTCCCCCCCCTACCCCCCCC